AGAGACAATTAAAACAAGGAGAAAGTATGGTGAAGTGCCTGTCAAAGACGAAGAAACAGATACGTTTCAATGTATAATTATGTAAACTGAATGAGCGGTTAGTGGTAAGTTGCCTTTTGTGAATATTCCTCTCACTTTCTCCGTGTTTAGTGTGATTGAGTGTGTGTGTGTGTTTATGTGTGTAAGAGTTTGCGTGCTGGGGGTATGTATGTGGTGTAGTAAAAATTACGAAGTGAATTGAGGGGGTGGGGGGGGGGGTGTTTGGGTTTATACCAACAAAAATTTTGAGCTAGGTTAACAACAGCCGCACAGCACTCTAAAATTCCCATGAAAGATCCGTCATCGTCTTCAGAAGCAAATAAAGAGCTGTAGTGCTGATGACACCGACGGCAGTGTGATTACATGTCAATCCCGCCGTCCTTAGAATTCAGAGAGTTGGCCAGATCCTCCGGTCATTCCCCGACGGCCACACTTTCCACACCGCAATGACCCACTCGCGCTTCCGCACCGTTCATCGGATCCCAAGGACTTGGATCACGTCCAATCCCCCATGCGTCAATCCACAACCCAGGGATGCAGCAATGGCCAATGTGTCTGCATTTTCGTTTCCCCAACATATCTTTATGACACATTGAAATGATCCAAAAGGACGTTAACCACATATCCCTACAGCGATATCTACCTCTCTGCACAGAGCATACACGTCTTCACCTTTCTCATCATGTTTTGTCAAACTACGATAATAAAGACATATATGTGCGGCATCATAGCCCAGGACCTATTGGTCTGTCGGCGGTGTGAATATGTAAGGAGAGAAGAACAGGGAGATAAAATAAATTATATATTATAACTAAAAATGGTTTGCAGACCGTTTGAGGGTGAGAGGATGGGCAGCTTTGCAGCAGGTCTGGTCCTAAATGATCCGGTTTCTATACACTGAAAGTATAGTATAGTAAAATAAAGGACCTTTCCCACGCCTTTAGGCGTATAGGGCATATAGGGCTAGACCTATATTTTATAGACCAACAGCACAAGATGGGTGATTTTGTCAGCATCTCGCCGGCCGCCTCTACTTCCCGGGAATGCACCCGGTACCCACTCAAGGCTGGGTCGACCTGGGAGCCAAGGTCATTTATGAAGAGAATTCCGGCTCTGCCAGGAAGCGAACCCACGACTTTCCGATCCGCGGCTCGCGTCTAGCCGCTCTGCCATGGCGACACCCATACACTGAAAGGTTATTCAGAAACCGAGAGCATTGCACAAAACAGGAAACACAAAGCGAAGACCAAATAGATCTCCAAAACGCCTGCACCTAAGAACAGAAGGGCGCAGTCTAAAACCACCCCAAGGATTTTCATAATAATAAACAGAGGGAATAACCATTTGAGGCCGTTAAATATTATGAATTAATCAAGTAACAGAAAATATTGTGAACGGCACTCATAGAAAGAAGTAGAAAGATAGAAGAACACACTAGACAACATAAAAATCGAAAGCTATAGTTACTGTGCCGGGAATTGAACCTGTCACCTCCAGACGGCGTCTGCGCCTCGCCATGAATACAAGTGCACTAAGATACATGGTCAATTGGGCACAAGCGATAAACACATGATGACACAAAGTGCCACCATGTGGGTGAGGGTCACCGTGGAGAGGTCCCAGAAACCGCGTTCAGACAATTGACCATATTTATGGCCTGCCTATATTGCGGCCCCTGGCAAGAGCCAGAGTAGGGCTTCAAATAACGAAAAATGTCATCCTGAAAAGGACGACAAAATGAAAAAAAAAAAGAGTAATTTGTGACACACTTAATTATTGGTTTTTAACCAAGTTTCCTTTACCGATAGCAGTAGACCTCGTAAGTTAAATGACCCGACAAATGTGTCTCTGACACTCTGCTGTAATTCTATATTCACTACAGCAACCCTTGCTACCCAGTGTTCAATTAATTGAATCTCATGTTGCACAGTGTATCTTACATTCGGGCTCACTGGGTTACTTGCCCAGTTACATCCAGACTTGCTGAGTTCTTTCCCATTTATTACATTCATATGTATTGCGTTCTTTCCCGTGTGTTAGGTTCTGGTTTATTGCGTTCATTGCCAGTTTTTTTCATTCAGGTTTAATGCGTTCAACCTTGTTTTTTTTTCCCTTTTTAAAAAAAAACAATAAAATGTATTGTGTTCTTTGCCAATAATTATTTTTTTTTAAATGTACAGGACCCTTTTCCACACCTTTATGCATATATGGCATAGAGGGCTAGACCTATATTTTATAGACCAATCGGCACAAGATGGGGGATGTGGTCAGCATCACCCGCCATTTATTATATTTAGACTTAAATCACCACTTATCACTGGCTAATAGATTGAAACGGTTGGGACATATAGAAAAAATGCCAGATGACAGAAGCAAACACTGTATACACAAGGGAGATTATTGGTCATAGACCACAAGGCAGACCAAAAAGAATATGGAGAGATAATGTCCAGACAGACCTGCAAACACTTAATGTCACCAACTGGAAAGAGAAGGTCAGCCAGAGAGATGAATGGAGGGGGTGATATCTGCAGTAATGAACCAATCTCTAGGGCTCGGAATGCTGAAGAAGAAGACTTAAATTTACTTCCCTGTTTATTACATTCAATCTCACTAAGTTCTTCATTGTTGTTGCAATCAGGAGTATTATATTCACTATATCTTGCAATCAAGTGTTTATTATTCTTTTTCATATTTTACTTTCAGGCTTTCTTTGTTTCCCCCTTATTTTACCTTTAGGTTTATTGCATTTCACTACATTTTAATGCCTATGCTTTACTTATCCATATGTAACAAAAGGTTGGTTGAATTCACCTGAATTTTGTACACTCAAATTTGTTGATTTCTCTATACATCTAATTGTCAGGCTTATGTTATACTTTCCATTAGGTTACAGTCATAATTGTTACAATAATAATATTGCATTTCTACCTTATCATCATTTCAGACATCTTGTGATGCTTAACATATGTTACATTCAGGCATCTTGTGATACTTAACATATGTTACATTCAGGCATCTTGTGATACTTAATATATGTTACATTCAGGCATCTTGTGATACTTAACATATGTTACATTCAGGCATCTTGTGATGCTTAACATATGTTACATTCAGGCATCTTGTGATACTTAACATATGTTACATTCAGGCATCTTGTGATGCTTAACATATGTTACATTCAGGCATCTTGTGATACTTAACATATGTTACATTCAGGCTGACTGAATTCAATTAAACAAATTGATAGACTTGTGGATACGGCTGCTGTGGAGGGCAGATAAGCCATAGACCAGCCTGATATACTGAATGCTCTACAAGAAGTAAGACGTGAGAGAACCAAGTGATGACAGCAAATCTGCAACCACGACCAGACTGCATGGATACAAATTAAAGGGGCTGTCGCTAGTCAACAGCAATATGCAGAAATGCAAAGAAAAAGAATAAAACAACACAAAACTGGTGTCCTCAGCCACTACACCCTAGAGAGGAGGGAATCTGAACACATGGACTGCATGCTCTTATATGCAATGAGGTTGTTCTGTTGACTTACTAACTCACTGAGTTTGATATATTGATGTACTCTACAGTTATGCAGTATTCTGCTGTCCAGTTTGGTTGAGGTAATGCAACACACATAATGATGTCATCATCATCATTATTTAGAAAGTCCTTTGCAGAACGTCGCTCTCATCACTGTCTGCTTGAAAGAAACTCGGTTTCTCACCAACTCTAGTGTGTCATGTACTTTCTTCATACTCAAGGAGTCACTTATATACTATGCCCATCTTTGTGTTGGTCAGCTCCTGCCCCTTCTTCCTGGTACCCTGCTTTTTGCTGTTATTATTTTACAGTCCTCCATGATGCTTGATATGACCAAAATATTTCAGCTTCCAAGACAAGATGCTATTTATTAGCCAGTCTTCTTTGATGTTCATTCATTCATTCAGTAGCATGTCCCTCGCGGAACCTCGCTGCCATAACAACCCTCCGGAAAACCTTCCTATCCCATAATTAATCCAGTTTCGTCCTTTTCAGGACGAAATTTTTTGTCATTTGAAGCCCTACTCTGGCTTTTGCCAGGGGCCGCAATATAGGCAGGCCATAAATATGGCCAAATGTCTGAACGCGGTTTCTGGGACCTCTCCACGGCGATCCTCATCCGCATGGTGGCACTTTGTGTCATCGGGTGTTTATCGCTTGTGTGATGTCCTGGTGGGGTAGAAATTCATTCATTCATTCCTTCCTATCCTGAGCAAGATGTCCTGCGTCTGATACACCCATCTGGAGATCATCTGCCACATCCTGCACCCATCTTCTCCTTGGCCTTCCTCTTCCTCTCTTCCCAGGCATATACCCCTCCATTATTGTTCTCTCTAGACTTCCATGACGTTTCAAGTGACCAAAATATTTCAATTTTCTTTGTTTTATTGTCTTTACTAGCCACCCCTCTTCAATATTCAGCTCTTGAAGTATGGATGCATTTGTTCTTTTCTTTACCCAAGATATTCTTAGAACCTGTCTGTAACATTTATATTCAAATGCATTTATGCGCTGTTCCGCTTGTTTAGTAAGTGTCCAGATCTTTAAAAATGTCAGTATTTCTTCTCTTCTTTGTTCATGATATTCGGAGAATCTTTCTATAGCATTTCAGCTCAAAAGCTCACATTTTCTGACTGAGAGATAGTAGGTAAGTTTTATCCCACCAGGTCATCACACAAGTGATAAACACCCAGTGACACAAAGTGCCACCATGCGGATGAGGATCACCTGTGAAGAGGTCCTGCAAACACTGTTCAGCCTTTAGGCCATATTTAATGCCTGGCTATATTTAGGACTCCCAGCAAAAGCTAGGATGGGGCTTCAAAATATCCTAAAATTTTATGTGAAATGGGGATGAATCCTACTGGGAGATAGTAAAATGATGTACACCTTACAAAAGAACTAATGTTTTCTTTCAGTACTGCTTCACTATCACATATAAGATAGAAGGACAGCGGCAGTATGATCTACGCTGCGATTCTGAAGCTGAATGCAATATTTGGATCGATGCCATCAAACGGGCCAGGTAAGCTTCTCAAAATCTGCCTTTAAAAGCATAAAATAAAATGAAGTCAGTGTATTATTCCTCGTCATAGGTAATTTTCCTTGCATTTCAAATGCACATATTTTGTTGCAAACATCATCAAAGCCACATATGGAAGCTGTAAAAGTATAGCATGCCATTATCAGAACTGTCTCTTTGGAAATAGGGACATAAAAAAAATGTGTGGTATTAAATGGCAACAAAAACAACCAAACCTAGAGGTTCTCTAGAGACCGCAAATAAAAAGGGAGTTACTAAAAGAAGATAAAAAAATGATTATTGAAATGTTTTGGTCACATCAAAAGACATAATACTTATTTTAAAAACATACTGTTCAAGATCAAAAGCTAGACAAAAAAAGTGGGAGGACAACATCAAGAGATTGACAAACAGCAGTCAAAGAAAGTGTACAACCAAGATGTGTTACAGCCAACCTTAGTTATATAAAAGTACCTGACTGATTGATTGACCACAGCGACAACAAAAATTAACTATGGAAATCTATTGCAAAGGATCATCAATGTGAGAAAAACTGATATTTGAAAAAGGGTGTTTAATACTCAAGCTGATCAATGTAATTGCTTTATGCTTTAGGCTCACCACCCAGGGGTGCCACAGCAACCAATCTATTTAATCTGTTCTATGCCCTGCACACCCCAATATCCATGATATGTTCTTGATCTGAGTCTTATCAAGCGATGCAAGCCACTTTACGCTTAGCATGCCATTTTATATTTTCCGAAACATGCTTTGTTAAAATTACCATATGCTGGGCTGTGCTGCTCTCCAGCCATTGGAAAGCTGCTGTTACTGCATCAACCTTCATTCTCATACTGGATGTTGTGACGTTCTGCGCTCAGGTGTCTGTTTTCAAACCTTGGCAATAAAACCCCCACCCACTCTTTCTATCTCTCATTTTAGATCCATCTGTGTATAAAAGCGATGTCTCCTGGATGTTAATTTCGATTGATCAGCTCTTGCAGTGATGAGTCTGTTTCACTAGATATAATTCCCGACCACCTTGGTCCAAGAGAAAGGCTCTATAAGCTCTGCTTTTGAGAATCTGGTGACCTTGACATCAGTATTTCAAATGTAGGAGTTAAAGCAATTATGGGAGATGGGACAGATGAAACTCATAGCCCAATCAGAATAATTGAGCGGACAATGATTTTTGAGGATGTTATGAGGAGAAATGTGATAGAACAGGATATTATGAGGGGAAATGTGATAGAACAGGATGTTATGAGGAGAAATGTGATAAAACAGTATTTAAATGAAGAAAAAAGACTTGAAAACATAGTTAAGACTGTTGCACTTACTTAACTAACTACTGGAAAAGAGCACACACAAAAAGGGCAAAATTTGCCAAAATTATTGCTATCGATCAAGCCTCATCGTGCCCAAAGGCACATAAGGCAGAGACTGTCACCACTCAATTTGATCCTGTCATCCTCTCTATCTCCAGTTTTGTCTTTCATGTAGCCTTGATTTCCACCTGAAAGGTTCGCCTCCAATTTGCCTTTGGGCCTGCCCCTTTCTCGCTGTCCTTGTTTTGTCCATTACATTGCCTGTCTCGTCTGTCTCTCTTTCTTTATTCTGATGACATGTCCAGTCCACCTCCATCTTCGATTTTTTATTTCTAAATTTACATCGTCTAAGTCTGTAATTTGTTGTAATCTAGAATTGCTTATTTTATCTTCCAATGTGAAATGAACCCCAACAATCTTCTGAGAAATATTCCCTCAAACCCTCTGAGCATGCTCTCCATCTTTCTGTCTGTTTTCCAAGTTTCTGCTCCGTTGAGGAGAACTGTTCTAACCCATGTTTTGTTTATTCTGAGTTTAGTTTTAGTGCTGTAGATGATTGATCTCCAGACACTCTGAAGTCTGTTGTAAGCAGCATTTGCTTTTGCAATTCCCAAATTGTTTAACCAATTGATGTAAGCCAAACAAGGAGACATACTTGATCTCAGACTGGTAATCATGTGAGATGATGAACCATCACCATCTGCACTTACGAACATCGCAGCTAATGAAATAGTATATCTGTTTTATTTTATTTCATAAAATTTGGGGGGGGGGGGGCTGTAACACAGATTTTGCAAATATTAATTTTGTGTCTGTGTGTGTGTGTTTTTAAAAAACATTTCAGCTACAGCAAAGTTCTTGAGCAAAAGGAAGAACTTGAACAAAAGCATCTTCATTTACTGCAAATCCTGGACAGTGAACGTCAGGCAAAATGGCACTATGTTCAGCAAACAGAAGAGCTGGCATGCGAAGTGAAGAAACTCAAAGAAGAGGTTTGTTTGCTTCTACTGTTTTGTTAAGTGCTACATACTATTTGCTGGTTGTTTGGTGGTAGTGATATTTCAGATCTATGAGCAGCAATAAAAGCTACAATGAAATCATAAAGATAATAGAAGTTGGTATCATTAAGAGAATGTGGTATTATTGGGTCTTCAGTTTTGAATTTCATGGAGCTTCTGTTTAGTTTTAAAATGTGAGGCTCATTTGTTTGAAAGCAAATAAAAAAATTTTTCTATAATTTTAATGATTTGCTACTGATCATTGATATCTGCTCAAATAAAAGCAGTTACATAAAGTAGTCTTAGAAAGATGAGAAATATAGAGTTATGAACAACATAGACAAACAAGTGAAATATTTTGGCCTCAGTAAAAGACATAACATTCCTATACTTGAGGGAAAAGTTGTAGTTAGAAAGAAGCAGACACTGATACAGATAGTGGGACAGTGTCAAGATATGAATTAACAGCGGCCTTTCAGAGTGCCAACAGGTCTTGGTCAGATATGCCTGAACTAGCATATAACAGTAGCCTGTATGACATGACTTCTGTTAACACTAAATGTTGGGCAGCGTATACCAAACCTGCCATCCCATATTGTGCCAACAGCTTCGGGCAGAGGAGTGCACTGGGGAGGTTACTAGCTCTATCCTAGGAAGAGGAAATGCAGCCTGAAAACTTTTAAGTTATTGCAGGGCAGACCAGGCCCTTCGCCTTGGCTGACAGCTGGTCTGGGAGGCAAGCTCTGACAGGCAAACAAATAGAGCACTGTTCTTCTGATCCGGCAGCTTCTGCAGCCTGCTTTTTCCAAACGTACTGGTGTTATCTTTCCTTTGGAGTAAACGAGGCACGTTGAAAGAGGGATGCATGGGCAACATATGGTCTCTACAGATACTGGCCACACTTTGTGCTGTGGAGAGAATGAACTTCATCCCTGGCTGTATTTGATCTCTGAAACAAATCAAGAGGCAGAAGTTTATAACGGTCCTAAAACCTATTGCTATAATTGTGGAAGACTTCTTAATGCAGGCGGATCTTGCTAGTCACACTCGTCATCCCCATGGGCTGTGAGTCCCATGCCTCCTCATAGCACATTATAACACTACCATCTGCAAAGATGAAAAGGTGCCAGTCATCATCAAGAGAGTGTACCATGGGTTCGTTAGGCAAGGATTCATTCAAACATCCTTTTTTATGGAGATGGCAACTTATTGTCTATTGCCTTTTTCAGATCCAATACAAGAGGAGCAAAAGCTTTCAAAGTTTTAAACATAGCAACTATGACAAAATTTAAAATAAAAACAAAAATACATTCAACAAAGTACAGAGACTTGCTACTGACGACACACTTAGTATTTCAGTCCCATTTACTAATCTCTTCAACTAGTTTGATTCTTGTACTGTGTAAATATGTAATTTAAAGGAGAATAACTGTTTTTAGAACTTTGGCTTGAAGACATGACAGAGACTATAGTAAGAGTTCACATCATCCTCATTATCTAGTTGTGTCATTTATATGTTACATAGATCTCAAGAGTATATTCTTCCACTTCATCCTATCCTATGCAGTTCGTTTCAAACCCTGGTTAGTATCCAGTCTAGCACATTTTACCTGTCTCATCTATGTTCATTTTATGATTGCTCTTGGATGTTCTCATTTCCTCAATCCACTGGTTCACCATTTCAGTGTCTGGTAATCCTCTGCCCACTTGAATGTGCCTAATATAGTGCCATCTTCTTCTTTTTCTTCTTCTTCTTCTTCTTTTCTCTACTCATGGAATGCCTCGCGGCGTCATGGCAGGAAAAGATATCTAGAATGGTCCCTTCTGTTCACTTTGTATGTATTACTTTTCAGTTTCTCTGATATTTCTGAAGTCTGTCTTCTGCATGGTTGACCTCTAGGTCTGTTTGTTACCCCTGTATCTGTATAACATTGCTCTCTGTGCCATATTCGGTCCTAAATGGTTGATACAAGTGGTTGTCCAGACATTGCTTTTATTTATTTCTCGAAATAATCCCATTCAATGTTCAAAGCTTTGTTAAAGAATTATGACAACCTTAAGGGTAAGGTACAGCAGAAAGCTCTGTCACCAAGCTCAAGCTAGATAAATAAAACTAACAATGGGAACATGAAACGTGAGGATTTACACACAAAGAAAATTTTAGCAGAGATGAACAGGCTAATGCAACTTTATACCCCAAACATTTTTTTTTCACTCAGAAAAGGACAAGAGTTGTTTCGGTGGGGTTGGTGACCTTATGATAAAGAATGCTTTTTCATCACTCCTTGGATATGCTCCGATCAGCAACAAAATTCTCAACATTCCTATAGCTAATTAGAAGACACATTTTAGAAAATATAGAAAACAAGAGACATTGTAATAATGATGATGGATTTCTGCCAATTTTTGCGAGGAGAAAATTGAGAAAGAGGAGAACATCTAAGCCTCTTCATGATATAAATGAGAGAAGAGAGAAACAAATCTACTTCCATACCTAAAAAAATGTGTATGTTAACAAGGCACTGTTTAAACACCACCTGAGAAGGCTGCATAGTTGGATGTCACCAGTGGTAAATGCAAGCAACACAGGAAAAGAACAGAGATCTTTTTAATTAAATCAGAGCATAACACAACAAATTAGGGCCTTCAATGCAAGTTAAAAATGATACAAATTTAACACTTTAACATATAGAAAGGTGTATCATAGATATAGAAGGAGTACTGTAGAAAAATGTATGAGAATGTGACAAGTAATTTAGGAAAAACATTTGAAAGTGAAGGATCAGAGCCTTCACTGGAAGAGGTATGATAGCAATAGACTGAAGGAAGGGATGTCACCAGGTTGTGACAAAATGTAAGCAGAACTAATCCAGACAAGAGGAGAAGCCAACACTTGAATTTATTAAGCAAGTTTCTGGTACTTTTGATACAGTTAACTGAAAGTTTACATCATGAACAGTAAGCAGCTAATGGAATAGTTGAGGAAACATCAACAGCTGTTGGAATAGTTGGGGAAACATCAACAGCTGTTGAAATAGTTGGGGAAAACCAACAGCTATTGGAATAGTTGGAGACACATCAACAGCTATTGGAATAGTTGGGGAAACATCAACAGCTATTGGAATAGTTGGAGAAACATCAACAGCTATTGAAATGGTTGGGGAAACATCAACAGCTATTGAAATAGTTGGGGAAACATCAATAGCTATTGGAATAGTTGGAGAAACATTAAACTGGTTCCACAAGCAAAAAGGGGTGAGGCAGGGAGGCATTATCTCACCCTACATCTTCCATATGTATGCATAAAGCATGATGGGAAATGTCAAAAACGATCAGATTTATGATAGCTATGATCCCTTTGTAATTGGCTGCATCCTAATTCCGGAACTTGACTACAAAGATGACAGAATCCGTCTTTCAAACAGTGCACAGGGAGCAGAACATTTAAACATGTCTGTCCGAAAACAAAGTGAAGGTCAAAACTTTTCTTGAATTTAAAACAAGCAAAAACTGCCAGTCATTGAAAAAAAATTAATTAATAAAGTAAAAGTAAGGACCCTTTTCCACACCTTTCAGGCGTATTGGGTATATAGGGCTAGAACTTTATTTTATAGACCAAGAGCACAAGATGGGTGATGTGGTCAGCATTACGCCTGCCACCTTTACTTCCCACGACTGCACCTGGTACCCATTTAAGGCTGGGTCGACCTGTGAGCCAGGGTCATGTTTGAAGAATGTCTTGCTCAGTAAATGATGTGGAAATTGAAAATGTCATACCCTTTTAACATTTAAGTTCTATAATCAACAACAGTGGAGACTGTTTAATAGAAGTTAAAAGGAGCGTGGACATAGCAATGCAAAGACAAACAGCATTAAAAATCTATGGCAAAGTGCCAGCAAGCTAATGAAAGTTAAACTTTTAAGAGCATGTATTTTTTCTGTAAAAACATATAGATGTGACTTGTGGACTCTTTCACAATAATTAAGGGAGAAGAGAGAAGCATTTGAGCTGAAATGCTATAGAAAGGTTCTTAGAATACCATGGACCAAAAAGGGGGGGAGGGGGGGATGTGTTAACCTGCTGAAAGAACAGAAGATAAAAGGAATTTGGCTCATAAAAGCATCTTGTGTTGGAAGCTTAAATGCTTTGTCCATATCAAATATCATGGTTAATTGGAAAGAACAGTAGCAGAATGCATGGTTTCTGCTAAGAAATCAACCAGCATAAAAATGGGCACAGGACATACCAAACACCTTCAGCAAGAAAGTGCATGAGGCAGGAGGTCTGGCGAGGTACCGATGTAATAGAGATTCTGTAAAGTACTTGCTACTTGATGATAATTATAAGTTCCCATTTAAATACTTACATAGTAAAGTAAAGGACCCTATTCCACGCCTTTCAGGTGTATTGGGTATATAGGGCTGGACCTATATTTTATAGACCAAATGGCACTTGGTGGGTGATGTGGTCAGCCTCACACCAGTTGCCTTTACTTTTCAGGACTCTACCTGGTATACACTCAAGGTTGGGTCGACCTGGGAGCCAAGGTCATTTTGGAATAAAAATCTGGCCCTGGTCAGGAACTGAACCACGACCTTCCGATCCGCAACCCAGCATCTAGCCGCTAGACCACGGCGACTTTCCCAAATACTTACATAGGGCTGTGCAAAAAGAAATTAAAAGTAACAAAACAGTTAAAGACCCTTTTACATACCATCAGGTGTATTAGGCATATAGGGCTAGACCTATATTTTATGGAGAACTTGGCATTTTTTTAGGTAATGTGGTCAATACTAGGCCGGCCAGTTTTATATTGCAGGACTTTAGATGGTATCCATTTAAGGCTGGGCTGACCTGGGAGCCAAGGTCATTAAAAAAAAATATATCATGGCTCAACCCATGACTATCAGATCTACAGGTGAGCATGTAGCCACTACCCCATGGTGGCTCCCACAAGAGGTATTATTTCATTTAAAATTGCAGTAAACATTTATAAAGATTTTATAATTATATGTAGTTTGCTACATAGTAAATCTATTAAAATGTAACAATATGTTTCAGAAGATGTGAAATAATAATTTAGAAAAGTAATTGAGACAAAGGAGAGAAGGATTGCAAACAGGATAAGAACTGAGTGTCTGAGAAGGAACATGTCAAATACATGTTGTCTATTGCAGAACACTACCTTGCAGATAACCAGTAACACTTACAACAGCAATAGGTCAAATCTATGTTTTCTTGAGTAATAACATACATCTGGAACAGTGACAGGCATTGCCGAGTAGACCTGTTTATCCATGCAACACTATGAGGTTAGCGTACACTGAGTATTGATGCACGCATCAATACAACATCATTGGGATGTTGCTCTCTGACATGTTCATTTACAATTGTGTTTCCCTTTTCAGCTTCAGAAGTTCAGAAAGGAAGTCTACGGAAACCACTGCAAAGTAGACGAAGAGACAGATGACTTGAAGAAAATAAAAAAGGTTGCAGTCTCAGTGGGTCTTTCATATTTACTACTTCTGCCTGCCTTAGCTGTCCCCTGTTTCCCTTAGATGTTGTGCATATACTCACCCTAGGCATCCTACAGATAGAGCAGGCTCATTCCCATTTTTTTGAAATTAATAATTATTACCTCTTTTAGTCCCATGCAATGTGTGATGCATAATAGACTTCCCCATAGGCATTCCAACCATTGCATAATGAATTCACCCTCATTTTACAAATGGTCATAGTAAACTTAAGGAATCAAGCTTTCATATTTGCTACTTCTGTTGCAAAACTAACCTGTTTGAAAGTTAGCATTAGTGGCTTTTCATAGCGGCCACTGATTTTCTTTGACATGTGCTGTGAGTATCCACTGGTATTTTCAGTCCCAAATAATCTGAGCTAATGCTCCAGGGAGGAGTGAGGACAAAATACACTTATGGATATGCTATTTCTACAGAGATAAAATACACATCTTTTGTAGGAATCACAGTTCATTTTACATTTCCTGGCCCAGAAAGAGAGTGACTTTCCTTGCCATTCATGCCTCGTTGGATCGCAGGACCTCTCCTATGTTGCGCGAGGTGTCATGTTTCCCTTATTGTAAACGCTTTAACTGTTCCCTCATTTCTCATGTTCTCTTCGCTCGCTTGCGTTATATTTTCTGCTACTTGCCCGATGGTTCAGGGCTAATGAAAATGCAATTTTTTCTATTCATATTTCTTTGTAAGTGCTTTCTTTCTCTGTGGGGGAAGCCACCGCCAATGAATGTAGAAATACAAAGACATTCTAGTTTTGATACTCAAGAAATGTTGCGCCTGCGGTGCTTTCCCTTGCAGTACATCTTACTTGTACACAGGAACATGAAATAGACTTACGACAACGCAACCTCCCACAAATATTATATACGCCGAGCAATTGTTAAAACAAGCCATCTCATAACACCACTGCAATAAAGGAGAGGTCCTGCGACCCAACGAGGCATAAATGGCTAGGAAAATCACTCTCTTTTTGGGCTAGGAAATGAAAAATGAACCAGAAAGACATATATATCAGAGTTCTTTTAAATCCCTGACTAAACATAAGATGTAACAACATTTACTAACACCACACCAAAGTGAAGTTGTGGCAACGTTTACCTGAGTACATTTTCCTGTCCCTGGTCACTTTAAAAATAGGTCAAAGACACATATATGAATTCCTATATATATTACTTTTCATGCAACTACACAGTTTTCAGTGCTTTGCTTTTCATGCAACTACACAATTTTTATGTGCCACTCAATGTTCAAAAATGATTTTCTCTAAAACAAGAATTTGGCACTTAGGCGACTTTGGTACAGTGCCAAAAATATAATATTTTTATCAGTACACGTGTGTAATATCAAATAACATTCGCTATGTTTTTTGGACAGAACAATTTAAATCTAAGTCTCTAACTTAAGGCATTTTATGTGCAACATATTGTCCTTATCAGGAAACACATCTTACAAATGGATATGTACAAAATATTTTCCAGTTCAATAATTTTTTCCATCCTATAGGGTTAAGCATTAGAGGCACAATGGGTAGTAAAGAGAGTCATAAAGTCGGCATTCATTGAGCTCCTAGGTGGGGACCTACAAACATATGACAGGTTCCTTGGGACTCAAAAAGTTAATTTATTAACTAATGTATGACATTATTTACCCAAATCCCATCTTGTTTGATGGTTCTGCCATTCTGTTACTTCTGTCTTATATTAATTTTTGAACTATGGAAAGATTAAGCAGCATATCCAAGAACAACAATTAGTTAATAAGTATTCATATCACTGAGCAAAACAGTAATAGTCTAGATCACTTACAATACTTTTAAGATAAACAACATAATCTGGTCATCAAAATTTTTTGAAGAGTACGTTTAAAATAAATTTTTCATACCACTTACAATAAATAATATAATTTGTCATAATTAACCCATAATATTTGCAATATTACATAGCCAAAAGTGTTATACAAATATTGTAAGCTTAAAAAAAAAAAGCTTTTTATTTCCCAAAGAAAACTTAAAAGGGTTGACAATGATATAGTTGATTGAGTAATTGTACTTGTGTTAAATTTTTTCATTCACTTACTATTCTTCATTAATTAATTTATGAAGTAAAATTTGTCTTTACTTTTTAAATTAAAAATAGGAAACATAACTTAAAATCAATACTTTCCTAAATTTAAGCTGCATGTCTTCAGAGTGTACATTGATTGTACATTATTTATTTGTGAAAGTTTATTTAGCATTTTTTTTTTTAATTGTGCAGTTTTTATTTACTGTTATAAACATACTAGCAAAAGAAGCTTATCAATTTTTCTATAAACTGTGTTTTATTTTCTGTACTTTTAGTGAAATCTAACAGCTTAACTCTGGAAAAAAAAAAAAGTAAACATTCACTACAACAAACTGATGCTAGTTTAAAATTCTGGTCTCGTTTTAATATGAATAAATGTTTTTCTAGCAAAATTATGTATTGACTGCTCAGTATCTTCTCTTGACTCTATTTTTATTAGAAGTCTGCAATTGTGCTTCTTTTCTATTTTTGTAGGTGGCAGTGGTGTTAAAATGTTTCATTCTTTTTGTAGATTTGTAGATCTTTTTGCAATAAGTTTAGCGGTATAGAACACTGGCTGTTAAACTGTAAAAGGTCCCTTGTCCATGCCTTTAGGTGTATTGGGAATATAGGGCTAGACCTGTATTTTTATAGACCAATCTGCACTTGGTAGAGGATGTGGTCAGCATCATGTTGGCCGGTTAAACTGTAATAGTGTATAAATATCAAAGGTAGATAAGTATGCAAACATATTCTTTTTCCTGAGTTAACATCCTTGATTCATTCTACACACAACATCAGAATAAGTCAAGAAAGGTTAAAGTCAAGAGGATCCACTTAACTACACTAGGCTTATCCTATATGGCTCAGTCTCTCTTCCCAGAACAGAACATCACACAAAGCACGAACACCAAAGCTTCAGTGGTGATCACCAGGATTACTGATAGTAAGTCAAGAGATCTCAAATTGACATCAGTAATGCAGTTCTGGATGCATTTTTTATTTTAAAGCCCCACCCTGGCTGTTGCTGGAACCCCTAATGTAACCCAGCCTATGGGTTGAACAGGGTTTCTGAAACTTATTCCCAGGTGATTCTTATCCAAATGGTGGCATTTTGTGTCATCAAGTGTTTGTCACTTGTGAATTCCTGGTTGGGTAACCATCACTCTCATATCTGATCTCATATTTTGTATTGTCCAGTACCAATATGGAACAAAATTTTTCATTTTTTTAAGGCCACACCCCAGCTGTAGCCAGGATCCCAGATATAATCTAACGGGTTTCTAGGACTTGCGCCAGGTGATCCTCATCTGAATGGTGGCATTTGTTTGTCACTGGGTGTTGGTCACTCATTTGTACGGTCCTGGTGGGGTTAAAACACATAATGCTGGTCTCATATTATTGCTCATATACTCCGACTCAATATGGGACATAATTTATTATTATTTTAAAGCCCCACCCTGGCTGTAGTCAGGGGCCATAATGGTTGAATAGAGTTTTAGAGAGTTGGGCCCAGGTGATTCTCATCCGAATGGTGGCACTTTGTGTCACCGGGTGTTTATCACTCATTGTACCATCCTGGTAGGGTTAAACGTCATTGTAGATCCCACATAACTACTGGCCTAAAATAGTTTAAATGCTGTTTACCACATATTTCAGCTTTTTATTACTTTTTGACTAATAAGAGTCAATGGAACCGAAAAAGGATTTATACCTTTCCTCTGCCATTACTAAGTGGGTGTCTAGAATATGCAATGTAGACCCTGCTGCCTCCCTTACATTTGTGATTTCTTTAGTAAAACAATCTATTAACACCTGTTTTCCAAATGTGAGATGTATACCATTTCATCTGCATTTGAAATCACCTGGCTGTTTGCTCTGACTTAGTTTATTCTTCTTTGGGAGATTATTCCTGGCATTTCCAGAAGTGTACTGGATAGATCCATGGACAAAAGTGTATCTTCACTTTGAATAACTCTGTATATAGGAGTCTAACATCATATGCAGATGTGCTTCTGGCATGAAAACAAAGTATCTAGCTTTTTTTTTTTTACTGTTTAAAAAGAAGTGAAGGTGAAGTAGATGAAGTGATTCTATGGAATTACTGTTCCTTAATTGCTTTGAAAATGAAATAGCTGTAGATTTTTTTTTATCAATACTAAGTAAATGAAATTATTATGAGTTGAGTTGTGTCAAGAATTGACATCACACACCTCGGTGCATTCCCATGTATGCTCCATTGTCATCTTCAGCAGCCAGTGCAGAGTTCCAATACTGATGATACCAGTCACAATTTGGTTATATATTTGTCTTGCCTTTCCTCTGAGTGTAGTGAGCTGGCCAGATCCTCTGGTTACACCCAGGTGCCTTGTTCTCTCCAGGCCATAATAATCTAGTTTCTCTACTAATTCTGCTGTTTGTTCCCAAAGGGCCTTGACCACGTCTGCCTTTTCATGTATCAATTCAACACCCAGTAGTGCAGATCCAGACAATCTGTCTGCCTGTTCATTACCCACTATGCTGGCATAGTGAGAAGAAAGGATCCACAAATATGCTCACTACCCGTAACCTTTCCAGTGAAGCTAGCCACTTTGCTTGAAGCATCGCTGTCTTTACCTTTCTCAGCATGCTTTCAGAGTCTGTTACAATTACGACATGTGTGTGCATCTTGTTCTCTAGCCATTGGAGAGCTGCAGTTACCACCTTCACCTCGATTCTCATGCTAGATGTTGTCATGTTGAATGCCAGGCTGTCTTACACTAAAGATTTTCTATTGGCTTTCGCTACAAACCCCCAGGCACTTCTCTTTCCTCTTAACACTGAACCATCTGTATAGATCAAATCAAATTAAATCTGACTGATTGAAATTGAGTTTTCACCTAATCTATGCTTTGATTTGTTTTTCTTTCTAGCCAG